ATTCATTTTAAGGGGGTAGAATTGTAACACCCTAAAATTTGCATAACATTGAAATAGGAGAAAATGATTAATTATGTAGTTTTGTGGGCATTTGAATTTAGGAAAATAATAATTTTATTAAATTAAAATCAAAAGTAGGTTCACAATCATGTGTGTGCATCTATGCTGCTGCATATCTTTTGTATTGCTTGATTTGAAATCAGATTCCAAGTTGAATTGAATTTGCATTCAAAATTGATTTTGAAATTGCTTTGGAAAAATTTGGAAAAGAAAAACAAATTCCCCTTTCTCCCCTTCATTTCGGTCTGGTTGGCCTGCTTCTGCCCCGTGGCTCGCTCCTCGCACCGGCCCATCCCTTCGGCCTTCTTCCAGCGCTGGCCATCTCCCGTGCCCGCTCCTTCGCGCGGCCCAGCTGAGCGCCCGGCCTAGGTCGCGCTGCGCCCCACGCCTCCCTTCTCGTAGCGGCCCAGCAGCAGCGCTGGCCCACCCATCAGGCACTTCTTCCTCCTTGCATCGTGTTTGAGTCGGACTCCGCCGCCGATGCCGAATGATCCCACCTCCGCCACGAGCCCTGTGCCGTGCCTCCCAAGACATCCCGCGCCTCTTAAATACTGGAGCCGCGCCCGCCGCTCTCCCTATCCTGTTTTGGAAAGAAGCCGCAGCCGCCCTTGCCCTACATCAGCTCCGCCGCAAGCTTGGAAAGCCGTCGCTGTTTCGCCGAGCGCCGCGCTGCCATCGTCGCTTCCCGATCGTTCTTTTCGGCTCCGATGAGATCCCCATCTCCTCCGCTCTCTCCACGTGTCACCGGTGAGTCCAACCGCGCGCTATAGGCCGAACACCGAGAACTCCGGTGAGCCGGCAATGGCGCTGCCGCGACCGTCTTTTCCGACCGGCAGTCGTCCTCCTTCCCCGCTTGATCTGTTTTGGCCCGTTAGATCGGGATCCAACGATCGGTATCCAATGAACCGATTCGGATGGCTGTTTTGCAAAAAGGTCCCTCAGGTTCTTAATTATAGAACCCACCGTCCCTAACGTCTTTCCAGATTCTATTTTCTTTTTCTGAAAGCATACTTTGGTTCGGTTAGATTGAAAATACGTTTTCAGTTATTTACAGTTTTGCCACTCAACTTGTTTTAGCCATAAAATCTTCGTTTTAACTTCGATTTCATCCGTTCAAGTTGCGTTAGGTTCATAATTTCATAATCTACATGTTCATACTACTGTTAAGTAGGTTTTTAACTTTTAAAATTTGAGGTTAGATTTAATCTATTATTTTACTATAGAAAATTTTGTTTAATTCATAACTTCTTTCGTTTTAGCTCCGATTTTTGTGATCTTCGCGTCTGTGTGTTCGTAGTGAGACGTAGATTCATTTTTTAAACTTTTCATCTTAATTTTATGCTGTTGGTGTACTGTTTTAATCTATAGCTTTTGTTTGCTATACATGATTGCTCCTGGATGCTTGTATGTTGCTGTGTTTATCGAGTATAGACGATGAGCAATTCGTGGGAGATCAAGGGTACTATTTTGAGGAGCAGGATCATCAAGAGTACTTTACTCAAGGCAAGTATAGCATGGGATCATCCTTATTTTCTATTCACTTTAATACATTAAATTCATGTTGCATGTGTCACCTTGATAGGGATTCCATAGAATTGAACTTATACCTTGTCACCTATGGGATATGCATTGGGTAGCTTTGCTAGTGCTCAATTAAACCATGATCTTGTAACTTGACTAATGATATATGCAATAAACATTAAAATATGACTTTTTAGTAACTTGGAAACAGGGGGCTGGAGTGTTTAGCTACTTTCTAAATGCTTCAGATTCCTCTCCCTAAGGACTTATCTGTAAGTGATCATCCGGGACTTACAATACAGGTGTGAGGGCTACATGGCTCTGGCTTTAGCTCAATATGAGGACCTTTTTTAGCTTATTAGTGGTTACCTTAAATGGCGTAAGAATGGCTTGCCGAATTGGGTATAGTGTGGCCTCTGTCCCCATGTGTATAGGCTGCGCGTCAATGTGCCATCGGGAAGGGGGGCTCTACATCTGTTTGCCGAGTGAATCTAATGGCCCTAACTTGTTAGACAGACCTTTGAAAGACTTTATAGTGACCCATGCCTGCTCACCTTGGAAGTGTTTTAGGAGTAATTAACCCGGGCATATGGGTATCACGACTCACAGTGAAAGTGTACAACCTCTACAGAGTGTAAAACTGGTATATCAGTCGTGCTCACGGTCACGAGCGGCCTTAGAACATTTACGGAATAGATGAACACTAAGAATTATCTGTTTATGTTATTCATTACTCATGTTTACATTGATCATGTGTTTTGCATTGAGAATTGAAATAACTTGTTGCTACTCTTAAGCTAAAATTGTGACAACTAAAAGCTGAATGCTGTTAAACCTGTGTCAAGCCTTTTGAGCCTCATGAACCCTTGTTACACTTGTTGAGTACGACATGTACTTATGCTTGTTTATTTTTATTATTTGGATAAAAATTCCGGATGGGTAACAGATGGCTATGGGTATGATGATTTTCCTGAGGACTTTTAGACTTGTGGTCAACTAGTCGACGTCTCTGTGAAATGGAGCTTCCGCGAGAGATCTTTTCTTTATACTTCCGCTATATCTATGTGAACACTCTGTCTTAATATTCGTGATGTAATAAACACTTGTGATGATACTATTCATAATTTATCGGCTTATGTGTATGACTGATCTCTGGGCGCACATAAGATTTTGTATCCCATTTTATCCTTCAAATTGGGTGTGACAGGCGGGAAGATGAATTCCTGGCCCAGGCCCGGGTTGTGGCTTGGGCGCGGGGGAGGTCAATAGCGGGTGTAGGCTGCTGGGCCATGAGCGCCCGAGGCGCGAGAGGGCCACGGGCCTAATTCCTGAATGGGCCTTATGAACAGTAGAAGAAGAGCTTTACTTTTATAATTGTCAGAAGCATTTATGTGATGGTTTTAAGTCAAATTTGGATGTTTAAATCTCTATTCTTTTTGCACCGACGTGTATATTGTTTAGAGAGTAGATCAGTACATAATGCTTATGAAAAAGTAGTTTTTCATGTTTCCGCTGCTATGTTTAAGTCTATCCTCTAATTAATCTTAGAACCAACGGGAAATTTTAATTGGAGGAGTAGTGATTTTTGGTTAAGTTGGATTATGACATTGTTATTTTCTGACCAACATTGATAATAGCAATATTATAATTTTTTTATTCATGTGTTTTTCCGTGCATTAGTTCTATTTCTGCCTAACGGTGATGTAGAATTAATGTAGAAGTATATTGTATGTTTTAATTTTGACCAACTTCAAATTACGACATGCAATTATTATGTCAATTGTTTCCCACTTTCTCTGACGCTGTTTCAGGCTACAACCCAATGATGTTTATCTCGTCCATTCCGCCTCTCAATGGAAGCAACTATAACGTATGGCGAGAGAAACTTGAGATAGCACTTGCGCTGCTCGACAATGATCTAGCACTTATCTCTCCGTGTCCCACTGAGCTAGTGGACCTGGTGAGGGAAAGCAAATGAGATTGATGCAGCTTTCGCTACTCGACAGCGTGACCATGCAGAAGTGAAAATGAAGTACGACCTTGATCGTGCGAAGTGGGATAGTTCAAACCGCAAGTGTTTGATGGTGATTAAGGGCTCCATTGAGGATCCAATAAGGGGTAATTCCCAGAATGTACCACCACCACTGGGTATCTCGAGAAGGTGGAGAGTCAGTTCACTGGCTCTTCAAAGGCTTATGCAAGCACTCTTATTAAGAAGTTAGTCAATGAGAAATACTCTAGTGGAGGGATTAGAGAGCACATATTGAAGATGAGCAACACGGCATCTAAGCTCAAGCCAATAGACTTGGGGCTCAAGGATGAGTTCCTAATTCATTTGGTTTTTGCATCTTTGCCCAAAGAGTATGAGACTTTTGTTGTTAATTACAACTTATAGCCAGATAAGTGGGACACTGAGAAGCTCATTGCCATGTGTGTGCAAGAAGAGGAGAGGCTTAAGAGCCCATATGGTGACTCTGTCAACTATGTGAAGGAAAATAAAAAGCAGAATTTTAACAACAAGAATGCTAAATCACAAGAAAAACCTCAGTGGGACAATAGCTTCTCTTCTAAGTCACAAGGAAAGGCCCCTCACTATACGTCTACTTCCCTCTATGCCGATTTTCGTGGGTCTCTATTGACATTCTGCTTCGTCTACTTTTGCACTATCTCTCTCTGGTGCGGACAACCTCACTGTAAGAATATCTGTACTTTCTCTGTTGTTCGTTCTCTCGTTCCTTCTATTACTAGCATTAGGGGGTTTGAGTTTTCCTTAGTGCTAGTTTCTTTGGTTTATGATCTACTTAAATATGTATCTAAGATAGGTTTGTTTTTGTTGAATCACACTCCTATGATACATGTTGTTACTCGTTTTCTTAGTACCGGAATTAATTTATTCATCACTATTGTTGTTATTTCCAACAAATATTGCTTGTCTGTTGCCATGTACTCCCACGGTCTCTTTTTAAGTGTGGTCTGGTCAAAATTTCTTAAATTTGATTAGATTCGTAGAAAATATTAGCAACATTTATATCTTCAAATAAGTTTATTATGAAAATACATTTAACTATATATATAATGATACTAATTTGTACCATGAATATTAATGTTTTTTTTGTATATATTTGATCAAAGTTGAGTATACTTGACTTCTTGGGAAACGAGAACGACAGTTAAAAAGGGAGGAAGGGATTACATAATATACAAGTTCAAACGAAGTTTTATAATTGGTAGACATCACATTATAGTTTGACCAGTCTAATCCAGAAAAGTACACGCAAACTCCATGAGATGGACTCCACTGAGAGTGAGAGGTACAACAACTAACACAACAATGATCAGGGTTTAACAATTGACAAGATTTGGAGGACAGAAGAGAGTAAAAGCTAGCATCTGCAAACCATACATGGAACAGGAGCAATCTATCGATGTCGAGCAGAAGCAGCAGTATCAGTAGTAGCTATGCCGGCAGCATCGCCGGGCCGACTCACGATCCCAACATGGGAGAGCAATGCCCAGAGCAGTGTTATCAGCTCACCACCCCGTGCAATGGCCTCCAAATGACCTCTGACATTGTCCGAGGGAGCGATGTACAGGATCATCTCTGACCAGAATTCTGCCAGCACCATCCACGCAATTTCCTGACTTTCCATCAGCTCCACCAGTTGCTTTCCAAGCACGACGCCTTTCCTGAGCACTTCGTGCCTGGAATTGACACTCAACAACTGGATCACCTGCTCATACTCGGCCTCTGGTCCCACTGCAGTACAGCGACACCCTGAGAGTGCACGCTTGGCATCATTCTTCACCACCTCATATAGGCTGGTGCTCCATTCTTCATGATCAGGAAGCAGATCCGGAGACCAGGCCATCAGGTATGTGCAGTAGCGTGACAGGTGAGTAGCAGCAATCTTGTAATTCAGATAGGGCAAAGAACCATGTTCTTGGCCACATTGGTATGGATGCCTCACCTCAAGGATCCATGTGGCGATGTGCCATGTAAGTATGATATCAGATGTACCAGTGCTACTACTGCAGGCCCACAAGAACCTTTCGCCACCGACTCGGCTCAGGTGTAGAGAATTTCTGCCATTGCTTAATTCTTGCCCAATGCTGATGTAATGTGTCATAGTATGGATAATGCATACCTTCACTGCTTCTGGTATCTTCTTCACACTCCTATCTAGGTCTGGGAGACCCAGGAGACGTCTGAGAAGAACAAGTGGGGTTGTTCTGGGGTGAACCACCAATATTGAGCTCTGGCCCATTTTTTCGTCCCAATGCTTCATCAGCTCCCATTTGCACTGCAACAGAAGGACAAACCATTTCTGCACCCGGAGAGATTGCTGCAAAGAGGCATGTCTGATATAGTGGTGCAGATGAGAGCAACTTTGGTCCAGTTAGAGCAAATGTAGGACGCTATGTAATTCGCCTCTGCCATCACAACTAACGCCAGAAGAAAAAAATAAAGGAACATCATCAAAGAGAAAGGGTCCAAAATGTTTTTTCTGCATGTCGCTTATCAAGTGCCTTTCGCTGCACCATAAATTACAGCGCATCTGATGCTCATATTTGGGCTCCCATTTCAATACAAGACCCTTGATGATGAATGATCCAGCCACAAGGCAGTAAACTATGCTCAAGAGTGAGATACTGACACTCAAGATGGGCAACCAATATTTGGAATAAGAAACCGGAAGTGATGAGTAGTAGTAATCTTGAATGAAAGAAAGTTCATCTACAATCACCCCAAATACCCTTGCATGGTTGCCTTCTCTTAACAACAAGCTCAAGAATTTGTTTAGGGCCCTCATAGACCCAGCATTAGCAAACTCGTACCTTGCGAACCGACATCGCAACAGTTTGAACAGTGAGAATGACAAGCATATGTCTTTTAGTTGTGGTCTTGACATAGCAAGCCTGTCGTCGTCCAACTGCCAAACCTTGTCAAAGGTTACTATGCCCATTCTGTTGATTCTTGAGAGATCTTTGCATACATACCCGTGAGGCTTCTTCTCCACTTGAATATCCTCTTCTCCCATTACCAAGAGCGGAGGAGGCGGATGTGCATCCTCACCTGCCCATGGCTCACCAAGTTCAGTTGCTTCTTGTAGATGTTTCATGTACCCAGAAATAAGACGAGGATTACGTCCAAATGCCAACGAATGCCGGGCCTTCTCAAATGCATAATACTTTAACACAATTTTAGCAAAATCACAGCAAAAAGCACCAATTCAAGGTGAAATTGCCACTTATTGGACTTAATCGGGCCCATGACACTGACACCAAGATAAAGGGTCCAGATACCTTGAACAAGCAGCTGGATTGGGGGACCTTTGTTCCGACCTTCTTTGTCATCAAAGGCGACTATTACGCTGGTATTGATCACCACGATGTGAACAAGAAATGCCCATGATACAACTGTAAACTGATGAAAACCGCCATGGCAGGTTGCTGCTGTCAAGGTTCCCAATGCTTTATCTTCATTGATATAATCATTGGTGTTGGAGCCGATGGTGGAGACAACATAGGAGATGATGGGGAGGAACAAAGTTGTAGCTCCAAGGAAGATGAAGCGCGTTAAGGTGTGGTACCGATACCGCCGAGCATAAGCTCCGATAACAACTATGACTCCCGCCAAGACCGCGTCCATGACTATCAGCATGTTCACCCGCCACATCTTCCCTCCCATGATCTCATTGAAGACTCCCAAGAATTCATGAGAGCAGCTGATGTTTGAGTAACACTTCTGTAGTGCAGCATCGTTGTAGCAGATTGATGTGGCATTGTTCCGGGCCATAGTCTAGCTGAATACCAAATCTCAACATCAGAACAAGTTATTGGGTAGAAACCAACAAAAGAACTAGTTATTATGCAACGAACATTAACTCATGGTGCAAGGTTTAATTTGTGACGAAAGGAAAATTAAGTTATAGAACATATATGAACATGAGAATAAGGGCACGAAATTAAAAGAACTTGAGAGAGGTATAAGATAGATATCCACTTACAAACGTGAAATCCGTGAGACCGCTGAGAATTTATCGATGTTCCCTTGTGGTCTTGTGTGGATGCTTATATATTGAGCAGCTTTGGAACATGAGCTGCTGGGTGCCTGGGTCCTGACGTTTTGTTCTTTGTTCCATTTTCCTCGTGTGTTCCCACCCATAAAGGGAGCAGTAGTGGGGCATATATGCATTCTAGCTATACTTTGCCTTTAATGCCGGAGTACATATGACATGCCGATAACTATCCAGTTTGCACTTGCACTTGTTGCGGGTGCTACTACTGTACAAATATATATATATATATATATATATATATATATATATATATGGCTATTATGCAGCTGGCCATAGAATAACTTATTCTATAGCCACTTTGACTTACGATAATAATTCTATCAATTTACGATAACATGAATATGCATTTACGATACTCGTGTTACTACAACTCACGGTGATATTTACGATAATGTTATAGTAGACACTTAGTAAGGAGTTACTGTAATCTCGTAAATTAGCATGATAATTATCGTAACTCAAAGTGGCCACAGAATAAGTTATTCTATGGCCAGCTGCAGAACAATAGTTTATATATATATATATATATATGGGCTAAAAGGATATCTCACGGTCAGTATTTTGATTTTCCTTCCCAACAATTTGGTGTTCTCTTATCCCTTAGAATGTAATCAACAGAGATGAGCTGAAAATTTATAAGAACTTGGCTGTGTGAGATCGCAGAGGCCGGAACTATTCCTTTTTCATGAAAAAAAATATATCACGATCTCGATGTAGAGGCTACGATGGTTGTTTCATCACTAAAAGCATATGACATGGGTTTTGCTGGTGCCGGCTTGGAATATGTATGTACAACGAACACCCTCTTGTCGTGTAAAGAACCTAAAATACAAGGAACAATCGGTCCATTAATTTTTTGACCCTTAGCGCTTGTCTGTCACCCCCAATGGCCCACAACCTCCAATAATACCCTCTAAACATGCTACCTTTCAATTGTTAGCTTTAGCCTTTGCTTTTACTTTTGGTTTGATTAATCGCTCTTGGTGGCTTTGCTTTTCCTTTCACTTTGATCACTCCATGTATATAACAATATATATATATATATATATATATAAATAAAATGACTCGTGGTCTACATAATGTACTCAGATTAAGTCCGCATGAGTGCTTCCTATATATGATTTCATGGGCAGCACACGCTACTATTCTTTTTCACACTTACAAGGCATCCACTAAGGGCATGTTTGGAACTTAGAAATATAAAACAGAGGAATGGAAAGAAACGCATGAATGGAATAGGGAATGGAAAAACACATGAAAAATACAAGAAGAGGTATTTGGAACAAAGGAAGATGTAATAGAGGAAAACTTAAAACATTGAAATAGATTAAAAGCTAATGGTACTTAATTATAGGCTAAACGTGGAGCATTAGTATTTTTATTTCTACTATGACTTATGGGACCCAATGATACTCAAAGATAATCTTTATTACCTATCTACCTCCACGGTCCCCACTGTCTACATGCTACCAATGATTAATCTACTCCACCCGGATGAGTCTAATGGCATGGCTGCCCCTAGGACTTCAGCGCAGGAAACGAAAACCAGAGATGGGAGCGTATGCTTTTTTTCCTGTGAAATCTTGTTATTGCTACAGTATTCTAGAGGAAAGGGTCCTCTCAATTCCTTTGTTCCAAACGGCCAACCCGTCTTCCTTTCATGTGTTTTTGTTTCCTTTTTTCGAAAGTGTGCATTGGAACGTGCTTCATTAAGAGGAAGTGGGATACAAAGTAGGCCGGTGTTGCAAAACGGCGAGATGCCGATGGCAACCAACCGGTGGAACACTTACATGAAGCACCGGCTTCAACGGTGGCGCTGTAAAGATGTACTAACTGAGGAAACTAACTGTGCAACTATTGAAAGAGAAGGCAGTCTGCGGCCACTAGTTAGCTAAGACGATCAGCGACGCGAGGCTATGAAAGCCCGCGGCGATCTAGGTGTCCGCCTCCTCCAAAATCAGCACACAATTGAGACAGCGTCCTCGTGTTGTTGTCAAATGTTCTCCGATCGTGTTCCTTCCAGACCTTCCAAGAGACGAGCAGCACAAGCGAGTCGAAGCTTCGCTTGAAGGGCTTCAGAATGGTTGTTCTTGTGTTCTGCCACCAGTCTAACAGACAAGAACCATCAAGCGGAACCAGGTGTTGCATCTCCACCCTTGATAGCAGTCGGTGCCACACCTCACAAGTGAACACGCAGGAGGCCAACAAGTGATCGGTGGTCTCGTCTTGTTGATCACAGAGCACACAGACCGCGTCTTGCTATAGGCCGTGCCGCTTGCGACGCTCAGCTGTCCACAGGCGCCCATGAAGAGCAAGCCAGAAGAAGAATTTGACCTCGGGCGGCACTACCGATCTCCAAACTTGCTTGGCGCCATACAAGGCTGTCATCCCTGTGAAGTATGCCCTATACGCCAATGAGGCGGTGTAAGCTCCATTCTCCTTCCATTTTCAGATAAAACGATCGAAGTCCAGCGGTGTTAGCTGGATCCCTTCGAGCTTTTCCCATAGGTGAACGTATTCATAGAGTACCATAGCAGTCGGCGCGCCGGTGATATCCCTTGCCCACTGGTGGTTCAGCATCGCATCCCTGATTGTGCGATTGCGCCGGCGGCACCCGACCGCTCGGAAGAGATTTGGCGCGAAAGCGCAAATTGCGCCGTTCGGTAGCCAGGAATCCGTCCAGAAGCGCGCGGTGGTGCCGTCACCAACCTGGACAGTAACAGAAGCATTGAACATTGCGGCGACGGCGCGTTCTGGTTTTGAAGGTAGCTGTGCCCAGGCCGCGTCAGGATGTGTCCGACGCAGCCACTCCCATCGAAGGCGAAGCGCGAAGCCAAGCACCCGGAGGTCGGGCAGCCCTAGCCCTCCATGTTCCTTGGGTGAGCACACTATGGCCCAGGTGATCCTGCACCGCCCGCCAAAGACAAACTATGTACCCGCCCAAAGAAACGCTTGTCGCCTCTTGTCAATCTGTCGAATAGCCCACGCCGACAGATTGCAACAAATTGAAACATGGACTGGGATAGCAGATAGTGTTGTTTGAGTAAGAGTTGCCCTCCCTGCGTTCGTCAGGAGTCCGCCCTTCCATGTTGGAATTCGAGCTGCCACCTTATCGACGAGTTGTTGCTCCTCGGCGCGGCAGAGCCTGGACAATGAGAGTGGCGCATCCAGGTACTTTGTTGGGAACTCTTGGATCTTGCAAGGGAAGACTTGCTGCACGGCCTTGATGTCTTCCTGAGAGCAACGGATTGGGGTCATTGTGCATTTGTCGAGGTTTGTGGAGAGGCCGGAGGCACCGGCGAACAGCTCCAGAATCTCCCGGATGCCGTTGAAGTCTTTCTTTAAAAAACCTTTGTTTCAAACAGCCCCTAATACGGAAAATATTTTTACAGGCAGTTCTGTTCCACGTGATTTCCATAGGCAAAAGGCCTCCAATAATGCAAGTGGTTTCTACATGCAGTCTTCTTAAAGAACCATCTGTAGAAATGATTCTTGCGCACGGGGGCTTCTTAAGCCAACCGGCTGGCTAATGTTTTTTATTATTTAATTTCTACAAGAAAAAACATTTAATTTAATCATAGATTGCTGATGCACATGAAAAAATCCATAGTGGGTCAAGAGGGCCTTAATTGCAAGGGCTTCATGACAATGGATTTAATTGTTTTGTCGTGCCTGACAAAAGTCACGTGACACTGAAAACACTTGCGGAGCATGAACAAGGTGTGCTCATGATAACAGAGAAAGATTTGTGAGAGGGGTACAAGGTACACTTTTGAGTTTCATTTTCAATAAGCCACAACGTTTACTTGGGTTCCGTGGATTTTATTCTTTTTTATTTTAATATTAACTTATGTGCTTTTAAATAATGTAAAAAATCGACTTCAGCCCTTTTCAAACAAAAGGCATCAGTCCATATACACTGAGAATTTGAACTTGTCACAAATTCCAATCACACACATGTTTGGAGAATTTAACTCTAAAGTTTAGAGGTATAAAGTTTAGAGCGATGGATCTAAAGCTGCACACGATGCAAGAAGCTTTCCTTATTTGCTTCTGGACATTAGACAATTTTGGATTTTTTTATTAACTACTCTTGACAATTTTTTTTCACTTTTGTTACTTACTGCCTCTATATTAAGAATAATGTAAAATGACTATTGACTTATCCTCCCACCACCGCAATGTGCACCAAAGACAAATTCTTTTCACACTTTTGAGTTTCATTTTTAATAAGCCACATCGATTACTTGGGTTCCATGGATTTTATTCTATTTTATTTTAGTATTAACTTATGTGCTTTTAAATAATGTAAAAAATCGACTTCAGCCCTTTTGAAACAAAGAGCATCAGTCCACACTTACTATACGTACATATGCACTGAGAATTTGAACTAATTACAGTTCAAAGCACAGAATATGAACTTATTACAAGTTCAAAACTAGCTAAAACACAAGAAAGTAAGTGCAACTCCAACAACTTGGCTATTCCTTGATTTTCGGTGGCCAGATAAAGCCAACAACGGACGCTCGCTATCTAACTTTGTAAAATAGCAAGGCTATCGTGGACCTCTTCTTTTTTAGAAGTTTTCTATTTTACAAAATGGTTAAACAGTGGAATCTGGCTACTAATTTTAGCCAAGCTGTTAGAGTTGCTCTAACCGAAAGACCATCCCTTAGATAAAAAAAACTGCATGGCTCTTGATTATTCTAGTAGCCTA